TCTTACTCATCTCACAGTACGTATACACCTTTTGCAGGTTCCCATCAACCCACACGTCATGCATGTACACCGGATCATCGCTGTTCACACAAAACTTCACCCCACGCTCCCACAGCGCCCGGATCTTGGGAAACAACACTTCTGTCGGCGTCCTACGGTGATACGCATGCGGACACAGCGTCAACCCGATCCCTCTCTCCAACACACCTTGAATCAGCTCCTCCCGGTCCGCCACGTCCAGCCCGTGATCAATCCTCTCCGCACCCTTGCCGCCACAAACCTCGAAAACGGCCTCCCGCACATGCTCGTGTGTATCCTTCTGTCCAAAGTCGCAGTGCATCGTAACATGCAGGCCATCCGCCCTTGCTCTCGCGTACCCCTCCTCAAACAGCATCGGCGGCCTCTCAAACGCGTTGCTCGCCAGTCCAACAGCATGGAAAAGCCCCTTGCCGCCCTCCACGTTCCCCGCCGCCCACGGCCGCGCGACCTCGTACGCATCCAGTCCATCCTGCACACTCTCGTCGCGAATGAAGCAGAAGATCCAGTTCGACCGCACGCCGAGCTCGCGCTCGCCGTCGCGCTGGGCGCGCAGGTATCCGTTCAGCACGTCGGCCGCGGGCACGCCGCGGCGCGTGTGCGCCTGGATGTCGAAGAAGGGCTCGACGTAGCGCACGTTCATCTCGGCGCAGCGGCGGAGGTAGTCCATGGACATTTCGTAAAAGTCATCCTCAGTGTGGAGGACCTCGCAGCCGGCGAAGTAGGCCTCGAGGAAGGTGGGGATGCCGGGGACGCGGCCGTTGATCTCGGGGCGGTGGTTGAAGAAGACGGTGTAGGAGGCGAGGAGGTCTTCGTAAGTGGCGTAGGGCAGGGGGATGTTGTTGCGGTGGGCGAGTTTCCAGCGCAGGGAGGGGAGGAGGGTGCCTTCGATGTGGATGTGGAGCTCGACCTTGGGGAGGGAGGCGATGAAGGGGGAGATTTCGAGGCCGTTCATTTTGGGCCAAGAGGAGTCGGAAGGAGGTGGCGGTGAGTTTGATCTGGGAGTAGAAAACTGGCTGTGATTTCTGAGTTGCTGTGATGAAGCTTCAGATGTTCGCCTTCATGTGAGACTGAAGTTGGCCGATTGGACTATGGCGATTGACGTGCAGCTCCGTTATGTCGGACAGGTCCCGACGTCTTAAATTGCCCCTGTCGGCTATCGTCTAATGTATTGCGGGATGTCACTCTTCAGAGTCCCACCGTCTCTCGTTCTCTTTCTTCTAACTGGTTCATCGCCTTCTTTCCACGAAAACTCGAACGCCTCGACCGAATTCTCGGGTGATGTGAATGGAACATCACAAATATCCATCTCGTAAGTGGTTGGTTGAAGACCCTTTGCAAATCAAACATCGAAAGAGTCGCGAATCAAATGAGCCTTGATGGAGTCTTGATGGCCGATGTTCGCAGCAATGTGGAGATCCCAAAAACACGAAGGATCCGATAACACTTAATTTTCTGGGGCCCGTCTTATTCCCCAAAGCCTCCATCAGCCAACCATAACCGCCCAGCCGGTATCAAAGCGGCTCTCTGTTTCTTTTTGCCGGCCTGTCAGGTCCATTCAACGTCTGCCTCTTTCATCTCCAAGCCGTATGCAGTGTGGTAACGTCGCATCCTCGGTTCGGATATTCACCGACCCTAGAGTGGAACGACTTTTTCCTTTTCCTCGTCGGGGGTAGTGCTCTATACAGCGGAGTCTAGCGGTGCTCGTCTCTGGCATCCAGTCGCTTGCTTATCTCCCGCCCCGCGGCCCTGCTCCGCCCCTCCGGTTCGCGGTGGTGGTTGGTCGGGTCACAGCGACCGCGTGGTTCGCGTCGGAGATCATCGGCCATCGGCAGACGAGACCGCAGATAAGGCCCCTCATCCTGATTTTTCCCTCTCGCCGCGGGAAGAACAGGCAAGCAGCAACCCCCCCCGGTAACCGCGCGTGCGACCGGTTCTTCGCTGAATGGCCGGGCTCTTCAAAAGGGCGGCGGCTGCACCTCGGGCGGGGGAAGCATCCAGCTCGCGACCGCACCGCGCAGACGACGCTCACGAGAGAACGAGGTTGCTCGAAGCTGACAACGAGATGGGCTCGACTCCGGATGATGCGCCGCAGGGCGTGGACCAGCAGCAACAGCAGCAGCATATCGACACCGCGATGGCGAAGAAGATTCTGTGGAAGATTGACCGCACGGTCATTCCGCTGCTTTTCGTCACGTACATGCTCAACTTTATGGACAAGACTATCCTGTCGAGCGCGAGTGTGTTTGGGTTGAGAGATGATACTGTGAGTAGTTGCCACTTTTCCTGAAGACGTCCTGGCCAAGATGGGTGAGAAGTGATGAAATGAGCATGTTTGCTGATGCGCCGCGATAGCACCTGAAAGGCCAGAACTACAGCTGGGTCTCGAGCATCTTCTACTTTGGCTACTTCGCCTGGACGTACCCCACGACGCTACTCATCGCCCGCCTCCCGGTCGCGAAGTACATGACCGCCAACACTTTCTTCTGGGGCGCCGTCGTCGCCGTCACCGCCGCCTGCAAGAACTACGGCGGCCTGCTCACCGTGCGCTTCCTCCTCGGCGTCGCCGAGGCCACCATCACCCCGGCCTTCATGTTCCTCACCTCCACCTGGTACACCCGCGACGAGATCCCGACCCGCACCGGCATCTGGTTCGCCGGCAACTCGGTCGGCGGCCTCGTCGCCTCGCTGCTCGCCTTCGGCGTCGGCCACATCGACGACAAGATCGGCCCCTGGCGCTGGATGTACATCATCCTCGGCGTCGTCACCTTCGTCTGGGCGTTCGTGCTGTGGCTGTGGCTGCCCGATACCATCTCCTCGGCGCGCTTCTTGACGCCCGAGGAGCGGCAGTACGCCGGCGACCGCGTTGTTATCGCGGGCACCGGGCGCACGGAGAAGACGCACTGGAAGTGGGACCAGATGCGCGAGTGCCTTATCGATCCCAAGACGTGGCTCATCTTCGGCCTCGAGCTGATCTCGCAGATCCCCAACGGCGGCACGCAGAACTTTGCCAACCTCGTCATCAAGTCCTTCGGCTTCACGAGTCTGCAGTCGACGCTGATCAACATCCCCTACTCGCTCCTCTCGGCGGGCATGATTGCCGGCACGGGCTGGGTCGCCGGCCGCTTCCGCAAGATGAACTGCATCCTCATCGCACTCATTGTGCTCCCCTGCATTACGGGCGCGGCCATCATCTACTCGCGCGAGCACGTGAGCAACGGCGTCCAGCTGTTTGCGTACTTCCTCCTCTCGCCTGGCCCGGCGGCGATGCCGCTTGCGATGTCACTAGTGCAGGCCAACTACCGCGGCGTGACCAAGAAGATGACCATGTCGGCGCTGCTGTTTCTGGCGTACTGCGCGGGCAACATCGCCGGGCCGCAGTTCTTCAAGGCCAGCGAGGAGCCGCACTACAACACCGCCTTCCGGACCATCATGATCTGCTACTCGTTCGTGGTGGTGCTTGCCCTCTGCCTGCGGTTCTATCTGCAGTGGATCAACGCCAAGCGCACGAGGGAGGAGGGCTTCGAGGGCAGCGCTGGAGGAGCTGGTGCTGTTGGTGGCGGGAAGGTGATGCAGGCTGATGGCAACGCGAATGACGTCGCGGACATGGTTGACCGGGTGGAGCTGCGTCCGGAGGATTATGAGGACGTAACCGACTGGAAGACTGCTGGGTTTAGATATAGACTGTAGTCGCTGGCGAAATAGTTTGACGACGGCGTTGCATCCTAGGTGGTAGAAAGTGGTGCTGGTTGTGAGCATAGCCGTAGCTACTAGCGCGGCAGCGAATGCCAGACCTGGGGAATACAGATCCCCTCCGGCGAATACAAGGTTGTCCTTTTAAGAGCCCGTTGTTGTCACTCCGCGTCATTGTGAAAGTTGTGTCGAATGCTGTTGAGGCTGTTCACATGTCCTTCGTGGTTGCCTTCAGTAGGCACCAGCCTTGGAGTGCTTGTCGTTAGGTGAGACTGTGGCACCCAAGCTAACAGCGTCACCACCAGGCGTGCAAGGCAGAGGCAAATGAGACTTCTCAGTCGAAATGGCTGGCGACGTGATGCTCCACCGCGGCTGCATCCCCTTCAAACGTGCCGCACACAGGACAGGTGACGACCTCGGAGGGCGCAGCCGCTGCCGTATCCTCGTTCTCCGGAGCAGCAGCAGCATGCGCAGCCCCTCCACGGCCACCTTTCTTTTGCTTCGCCGGCCGAATGTACGCATCAAGTCCGACCTGCGCCGACGGCAACTCGGCCTCCTGCTCCTGCCGCCTGCCCTGCCGGCCCCGCGGTCCTCGCCTGTCTCCGAAGGCGGGCCCAGCTTCGCCGGACAAGTCCTGCTGCTGGGCGGCAGATGATGCTCCGGCTGATTGGGCTCCTGCATGCGACTGTACGCGGCCCACGCGGCCGTCGGAGAGGCGCACCTTGATCCCGCGCGGGTGGTTGCCACGGGTCAAGACATCCTGGACGGTTCCCGAGACGGTGCGGCCCGTGGGCTGGTCGGCCTTGAGCACGATGTTGACGCTGGCGCCGCGGACGACGGTTGCTACTGTGGGAATCCTGCTCATCTTTAAGAGTGCGCGTCTTATGCCACCGAAAGTTGCGAGACAATGTCTGTGGGGCGACGTCGTTGTGAGATGGATAATTATGAGTGCGGGCGGTTGATGTGTAGGGAGAGAATGAACGAAATTTGTTTGCTGTGGCGCATTGAAGGTGGTCCGTGCACACTTCGCGATGTCATCGGCCGTGGCAGCCTGGTGGATCTGCTGATTGGTCCATGTTTATGCAAGTGTGATCCAGGTAGAGATGCGATCATGCGTCGTAAATGGCACGGGGAAACTGCATGAACTGATATGATCTCCCCCTTTGCCTTGAAACCGTCGTACTCACAGTGATTTAGGTCCTACCAATATGAGAAATCTCAATGTTAGCTGTCAAACTTGGAGGGTCTCTATGTAGGTACTGTAACCCTGAATGGCAACTCCTCACCAAGACTCAATCCCGGCCAAACCGGGCACCATCGTGGAATTCCTTGCTGGGCTTCCAATAGCGCTTTCCGGGGCCATCTTCGCGCATCTGCCCAATTCCGACCTCAAGAAATTGCGCTTAGCTTCCAGACGGTTTTCCAAAGTCGCCACCCCTCACCTCAGCTTTAAGCGTGTTTTTATGTCAGCAAGCAACCACAATATCCAAGTCTTCAGGAATATTGCAAATCACGAGACGTTTCGCCATGACGTTCGTGAGATTGTCTGGGACGATGCACGCTTCATGGTTTCCCTGGAGGAGGAATCGGGTTACCGCAGTGGATACGGATATGACGCTGCAGGCTCGGATTCCGAGGATACGCCTGTGCCGGACGGAGTTCCCTTGTGGTTCGTTACAGCATGTCGGGAGAACATGGACTATCTGCGAAAATGGCGAGGAAGGGACGTCGAAACACTGCCGCAGCACGTTGAAACCGCACAACAGCTTGCTGCCCAGCTCCCTCTCGACGTAGCTTACGAATACTATGGACGATTGGTCCGTGATCAGGAAGAGGTTCTCGCTACTGCGGCTGACAGTGCTGCCTTTAAATAGGCTCTGGCCGAGAAACGGTTTCCCAATCTACGGAGAGTTACAATCACGCCTGCTGCTCATGGTATCCTCTTCTTCCCTCAGTATCCTACGCCTATGATCCGCGCATTCCCATACGGCTTCAATTACCCCCTTCCTCGCAGCTGGACCACGCCGCCACTCGGGGCCAGAATCCCCTGCGAAAGCTGGGCAGATGAAGCGATCAAGGATAAATGGTGCGGCTTCCGTATTGTTACTCATCTTCACGCCCAGCAAGAGTACGCAACCGTCCCAGAGGTGGTCATTGATGGCAACCAGATCAATTCGGGACTTACATGTGAGATTTTCTCAACGCAAGAGCCATGTGAAGAGTACAAAACCCTCGCTGCTCTAGTGCGGAAACCTGGTTCTCGATGCTCAAGCTTAGCGTTATGGTGGGCATGCACGCCGAACAGAACTATGCTGCCTTTCGCAACGGTCGCTTGAGGCAACTTCTGACCGCCGACTTAGCTTTCTGTGGTTCGTGAGACATAGTGGCGGATACAGAAGCGTACTTTTCCGTATCCAGGATGACCTCGGATGGCGAAGCCGATCCGTGAAGCCCCAGGTCATCATCCGAGATGATAAGAAGCTTACATTGCCCGGACGAGGAATCCACATGAATGAAGAGGTCATGAAGTTTCTTTACGACGGCGGTGAAAACCCTTATCCGGATGATCCGCGCATGCGTACGGTTTTGAAAGGCGTGGGCACGGTGAGGGACGTATTCGAGCCCAGATTCGAGCGGTCTTTCGCCACACGAGAAGAGTTGATAAGATTGGGCATTCAGAAGAGGTGGGGTGCAGATTGAGAAATATTTGATACCAAGGAGTTGCAGTCATGCCATGCTGGATCGGAGTCGGTGTCGAAACCCCAGCAGCGGTGGTTGTGGCAGCAGTCGGATTCGTCGGAGACGCTGCCAAACCAACGCACACGAATACATCTGCCAGCGACCTGGTGTAGTTGGTTTCAACTGCAGGATTCCACGAGTAAAAGTCATCTAGGGCGATTCCGTTAGAATCAGCGATCGCCCAACAACCGTCGCCACTGGCGACCTTGTAGAACTTGTTACAGTTCGAGACCGTGCCGTCCTGCATCGGCGTCGGCGTCGCAATACTCGTTCCGATAGAATTTACAGTCTGCTTGGGATCTGTTGCGACATCATGCGAGGAGATATTTTGCCCAATCAACAACGGCCTGCCCAGGATGTTCATATGGATGCTGTACGGGCACACCTTCTCCGAAACCAAAGCCTAGATATCCTGACTGGTAGAGATCCTGCGGACTATAACAACTCACTATCGGGGTCTGACACGAACAAGCCACTCTCCGGAAATGAGACCTCCTGTCAGTAATCAAGGACACGAACTCACGTCCTGGTTGACTACCACGCTTTGGAGGGAAACTGCGGCCAAAGTTCAAACTACAATGGCACACGGAACAGAGAAAATACGACGCCTCTCATGAACTTTGCTTTTCTAACAAAATGTATCCCTGCTCGATTGATTCAATTGAGGGGCGCCTGGATGTATTCGGTGCCACCATCGAAGGGTTTCACGCATTCCGGCAGTGGAACCCGAAGAGGCAGTCGGCGTCACAGTCTTCGGAAAAATGCTTTACATATTAAGGGGTTGGACGCGACTCCTAGACGACCTCCCTCAGGTCTACGGACTTACTGGTGAGACTACCAAGAAAGCGCTGTCAAGCACCCTCCTTCTGGCCAACCCAAAAGGAGAAGACCGTCCTGCAGACGATGTTATTGATAGAGTTACGGATTCCGATTGGAACCTGATAGCCCTCACAAGTCTGTTTACTCTATCACGAAGATTCACAGTCACCTCAGGTGGTTCGATAAGTCTTGTTCCAAACACGACCACACGTGGTGATGTGATCGTTTTCCTGGTCGGAGGCTCTGTGTTATACGTAGCACGGCCACTCATAGATGGCGACGATACTAGCGGGACTCTAGCTCCAACGAAAAAGTACAGATCCATAGGACAAGCTTGCGTACATGGCCTAGTGAACGGAGAAGTCGCTGATTATAGGTTAAATCTTCATCGAATGGCTTTTTTTCCTTTTAACCCTGCTAGAACGGCAAGAAGAGGTGAATTACGCGCGCCTAACGATTGCCGCGATGGCTTCATTTGTGCGCGGTGTTGAAGTTATGCGATTGATCGTTAGAACGGATGAGTACTGCCCGGATAGATTTCTCACACTACCCGAATAGCAAGACGCAATTGATTTCACTTACAGAACGCTTTCGCCAGGCTTAAGGATGCTGGCCTTCTTCGCTAGCTCTTAGCTTTGTTAGCGAACCACAACAAAACACGGTTAGGCCCCGTGTGCGAAAAGTTTGAGACTTGCAGTGGCTGACATCGAAAGCTCGGTGATCCCATTGAATAATTACGGCATCACCGAAAAGGCCCGCACGTAAGTTCGGTGACACCGCTGTCGGGCTACGCGCAATGTGCCATTGACACGAGCCTGTTCATTCCAACGATGAAAAAGCGACGCAATGGAAGCTGCGGTCCGCATTCAGACACAGGCCGCCCTGGGAGTTTATGGAAATTATGACAGACTATTCTTTGGGCTGTTTCCAGAACAATACAAAAAGGGAAACTGTATGGAAGTGAGGTACCTCAAAGACTGGGCCTAGTTATGCTGGAAATTAAACTTTTTCTGCTTTTTTCCCGCACCTCCTTAAGAGGTGATTAAACAAAATTGCAAACAATGCAAGCAAAGATCTCGCTTACATAAATATGCATATCACATCGTAGCCGGCCATATCTAAACGTCGCTTTTTGATTGATTTTTGTTGCTTATCCTGATTTTCTCATCACACCTTTACTACGGATACTCGTCGGATTTTTTTTTGCTATACTCCTTTCTCTCTTTTAGCAGCCTCCTAGCTTTTACTCACTCTCGACTTGATCACTCGGCTACACTGTGTTGATCCTCATCGGCCGAATGTTTAGACAACGCCCACTTCTTCTCTTCTTTTTGGGTGCCCATTTGTGGTGTCTTCTTTGCTATGGAGCACCTCTGCTAGTGTTCCACGTCTATCGTGGCGATACCAGGTCGCCCGAGGAGATTAAAATGCTTGGGGGGTTTCTCCCCAAGGGTCAAGCAAACTTTGGGCTTCAAACCCAAGACACAAGCCTCTTCAACCACATGAAGGGTACCCATAGCATCGGGAGCCGGGATGAAGACGGATACGTCTCAACCAGTTCCAGCGAGTCCGTGGCGGCTGTCTTTGTGTACGGGAAGCCTTCCGCCTACGTTTACAAGATCCATGTTACTCCGAACCTGATCGATACTGTTGGGACTCTTGGCAAGTACAGCGAATTCGACGAAGAATGCGAATGGGCGGCCTTAGGGGGTATCAAATATGAACAGATCGTTTCATGGAGGCCGTTGAACGGCAGAAAACTCGGAACTTCGACCAAGAACAAGAACTATGACAAAGCAAATTATGGGTTGGCGGTCAATGGTGGTGTGCAATACCAGCTTGCTGGCTTCCCTCCAAACCACGAGGCTTGGGGCGAAGAGCCCTGGAAAAGCCACAAGCCTTCGAAGCGCAACATCGGCAAGAAGCCAGGCTCGGTCTTGATTTACTGAAGGTATGTCTGGTAAGGTCGTGGAATATAGCCTTAAGCTGATTCATGCTAAGCACCCTCCGCTCAACAGCCCGCGTCCAGGCGCCCTGCTATCACGACAGCCCTCTGACGGGCGTACCACCACCGCGTAGACCTCCGCGGGTCAACTCGAGGCTGCGAGCACCACTCTGAAGAAGCCTCCGCTGAGAGAGAAACCTGTCCTTTTTAGATATGTCTACATATATACCCATAGTTTTATAACCCTTTCGCATTAGAGAGATCTAGGCCAAGCAATTTATAGGTTTTTCAAATTTGTTCTACTGGATCATCGAACGATCCCCTCTTACGTCGCTCAAACAATCTGCACTTCGATCTTTTGCTACTGCAGCGTCTTGTCGTATGATAACTCAGACCAATCTCAAGCCGCAACCGCCAATACTTGCTTTCCCAGCTCCCTCCGATGAAGATACCGAATCAAGAACGACATCCCAATGAGCCCGACACTTAGTGCCACCATCGTGGGGTATCCGCTCGGGTACTGCGGCGCCTGCACCTGCTGCCAGATGAGCAGCGGCAGCCATGCTTGGAACACGTAGGCCATCTGGTTCATCGATCCCGTCACCAGCGCGCGCTCTTCATTGTCATCCTTACAGATCTCATGCGCCCACGCAAATGTCAATCCGCTGATACCGCCCCCAAAACCTGCCAAAAGGAAGCACCCCCACTTCCACGCGATCGGGATATCCCACGCCGTGAGACTCGAGTAGATGACAATCTGCACCAGACCCGAGAACACAATCGGCGGCCACCGCGCGCCCTTGAACACCGTGTCGGAAGACCACGCGTAAATCAGCGTCGTGACGACCACGATGGCGGATGTGATGGTCGGGTATGTATTGACCTCCTTAACGCTGTAACCCGCGCCCTTGAGCCAGAGCTGGAAGCCCGGCTGGCCGAGGAGACCGCAGCCGTTGTTGAAGAAGATGTATAGCGCCGTGAGAGTGTATAGGTGCCAGCTGGTGAAGATTTTCTTAAGCTTTTCTTTCGTAAAGGGTTGGCGGTTAGCGCGGCCCTCGAGCTGCATCCGTTTTTGGGCGAGAGCGATGTCGTCGGCGCTGAGGTACCACGCCTTGGCGATCTCGGGGACGTCCGGGAGGAGGAAGAAGCCGGCGAGGGCGATGGGGAGCGAGATGACGGTGTCGACGATGAAGAGCCATTGCCACCCCTTCCAGCCGTGGACGCCGTCGAGGTTGTAGACGGCTGCCATGAGATAGCCGCTGAACATGGACCCTGGAGAAGAGATGAGCATGATTACCTTCCAGAAGTACAAGTGAGAGCTGGAGGGAAATCTTGGCCTACCTATGCTACCGCTGGCGTGAAAGATGCAGGATCGCTTGGCTAGTTCGTCTTTACGGTACCAAGAGCCGATGATGTACTGCATGCCGGGATAGAACGTGCTCTCGGCGAGGCCGATGAAGAAACGGAGGACGTAGAGCTGGGTTGTGCTGGTGCATTTGATCATGAGGATGGTGAGGACAGCCCAAGTTGTTTCGCAAGCGGGAATCCAGATTGAGGGGCGGACACGGGTAAGGAGCAGATTGCTGTGCTTTCGTGTTAGCCACATCTCTCAGACACCAGATGTCCACGATTTAAAGTATAGGCAACTGACCTTGGAATTTCCCCAAGAACATATCCAACAGTCCAACAAGTTTGCATGTAGTTCAGTTCATTACCGAAAAGCTGCATGTCCTCCTTCATACCAGACACGAAGGCGTTGTTGATGTTGATCTGA